GTTACGTTCCTTCAGATCTCTAGCTCAACATCTCTTTGGATAAGTTTCAGCGCCGTGTAAGGGCATACAGTAACAATGTTTGAGCCCATTTCAGGCCACGTTCTTTTTGCAGTATGCTTTCATGTCAGAGCCAGCCCAACTGAGCATGGCGTTGGTGTCAAGGACCCAGCTGGGGTGTACGCCCCACGCATGTCTTCAATGCATTCGATCAGCTTTGAGTTAGGCCATCGCCGCCAGTTCGACAGTCTTAAGATTTTGAGGTTTCTATTTCCTGTCAGGTTCCCGTGGACATGCGTGATGAAGGCGTTGGCTGGGTGCCAGGCTGGGGGCAAATTGAGAGACCAACAGTGGCTGCAAGCAATGCCGCTTGCAGGCTGGAGACCATTTTGACAAGTTTGAGCAGGAAGTGGCGCGAGGCTGGAGCAAACCTGAGTGTGCGAGCATAGCCTAACAGAAGCTGCTGATAGGTGATGTCAGGGACCTCCTGGTTGAGCAGGCAGACGATGGAAAAATGTTGGAAACCACATTGCAGAATTCTTGGGAATTCAAAAGTAAAACATGTAAAGATGTACATATATATATATATACACATTGCCACCCCCAAATAGATAAGAAATGGATTCATTATCATTTTGGTAGGGCTTTGCCTTTCCATCTATTTGCAGATGACTTTACATAGAGCATTTCTGGCCAAACTCCATGGAAAGGAAGCAGCTGGCTTCGCGGAACAGCTGGGGCTGATTGCGTTCCCTCAGCAACTCTGCGTGAAGTGATTAGTTACTGCATCTTACAGTCTTCTTAATTTCGCGCCTGTCTTTTCCACTGGTCAGGACGCGCGTTGAATGTCAATCTCAGCATTTTTGATCTTTCAGGGTCCAACTTCGGAGCATTGGGCAGATCTATTTTTGAACTGAGGCTCGCGATTTCTTCGCAGCCTTTCCTGGACGTTGTGGACCGTGCGCAGATGCATGCATCCTGCAACCAGATTCGGGTTGAAGTCGGCGACGTCTTCCACACCACAAAAGGTCTGGTGTCTATGCTGCAGGGTCAGCAAGATGAACAAATTCGTGCCTGCAGATGTTTGCTCTCATGCGCCGAGCATCTCTGTGAATTTCATTTGATTTTGAAGGACCTTGTACTGCAATTGTATAGTGAGCACAAAAACCTGCTCAGAGAGGATGATTTGAAGGCTGTGAAGGCAGCGCGGCGAGCGCTGTTGAAGCACAGGCTAGAGGGAGGAGGTCTGTTTGGCTTTGTGGAAGGATTGTAAAGAGAGGGATGGCGCATGTTGGAAAACAACGGCCGACTCAGTTTGTACTATATTCATTCATACTCTTTGAATGCCTGGCCATCCGACACAGTGTTTGCAGTTCTGCCAATCGGACGTGAAGGACATAAAGCGAGACAATGAAACTGGAGAGAGTTGGCTGAAAGCCGAGTGGCTTTCTTGGCCCAACACCTTATCTCACCATGGCTCCACAGTCTGATCGAAACTGCCCTGGTGCCGCGGACCCCCCTTTTTTGGGCCAGGATCGAAAACACCGTGTAAGGACTTTTATATAAAACAGCCTGTCAGATGTCGTTCGAACCATCCGCGAAAGATTCGCGATGCGGTTCGCGAAAGTATCTTTTTCTCCGCGACTGTGCAGATGTTTGCAAATGGTATGGCAACCGTCTTTCTTCTGGTGGCCGCTCCGAAGCTGTCTCCACAGACAGCTCCAGAGACTCACTCCCAAGGCTTCCCGCAATCTGCTTCGCCGCTTTTCCACACCAAAAAGGAGCGTGCTTCGGAAGCCCATAAGTAGAGGCGCTGGCCGAGCGAGCCAGACTGCCTATAACGTCACCTTCGGAAGCCCATAAGTAGAGGTGCTGGCTGAGCTGCCCTGTCTCTCTCTACGCCATACATACACAGCTCCAGAGACTCACTCCGAAGGCTCCCGGCAATCTCCTTCGCCGCGCTTTTCCACCATCTATTTCCACACCAAAAACGGCGTGCCGCGACGAGCCAGACTGCCTGTAACGTCACCTTCGGAAGCCCATAAGTAGAGGTGCCGGCAGCAGCCCTGTCTCTCTCTACGCCATACATACACAGCTCCAGAGATTCACTCCGAAGGCTCCCGCCAATCTCCTCCGCCACGCTTTTCCAACATCTGATTTTTCCACACCAAAGGGGGCGCGCCGCGGCGAGCCAGACTGCCTCACGTCGCCTTCGGAAGCCCATAAGTAGAGGCCGAGCATAGCAAGCGGCCATGGCCGGAGGAGAGCCCGCAGACCACGCCAAATATCCAGGCTTCGGAAGCCCAGAAGCAGAGGTGCTGGCCGCCGAGCGTAGCCAACGGCCCATGGCCGGAAAGACTCACGCCCAAGGCTCCCGGCTTGACACTGCCAGACACATCCACTGGCAACGGCTTGCGCCTCGCAGTGTCCAGGCGCCGCCCCGCCTGGCCACCCTAGTAGGCCGGGGTCGGCGGATTCTTAAGCTTTATCCCCACTTGCTTGCCTGACTGCATGGTCTCAACTCAACTTCTTGCTGTTGAAGTTCAAGAGAAAGCTAGACAACCCCAATAAAAACAGGCAAGAAACTGCAAGATGAGAGGTGGAGTCAGGTCAATGAATTATGAATAGATTGAACGCGTTTTTGGGAGCGTTGTGCGCAGGGTATTTGTTTCCGGCCAGCTTTGTCATGGTGCAGATTTTTTGCGTCGGTATTTGCTTGGCAGCCACGGCCTGTGGGTGTGGCTTGCCACTTTTGGCATTCTTCACACCTTGCTGGTGACGAAAGACGTTAGCGGTGAGGTGGAATTTACCTACGGCTGGGCTGGGGTCGAGGAGATCCCATCTTCCGGCCCTGAAGCCGATGAGGCGCTGGGGATTTGCTAAGGGCAAAATGCTAACGTGAGATCATTCATACGCAGATTAAGTCCAGAAAGACAATAAGCAAATCAGAACTCGATAAGCGTACCAGATCTTATGAGAAAAGGAGTACAGACCAATGAGCAACCCATGCCAGCCTTTGGGCCTGCGCTTGATGAAATTTTCATCGGCGTCATGGCCGAGCAACGTCTCAGAAGAGAAGTGAATCTTTTTAACGGGCGCTTCGGTTGGGCATACAACCCGGCACTTTTTAACTGCCAGTTTTTTGTGTTGCGGGTTGCCCACAAATGCAATTTTGAAGCGCCCGTTAAAAAATACTTGCCCATGGGGAGCCTTTGGAAGATGTGGGCTTTCATCGTGACTCATCTGCATTGGCTGTTTGATCGATTGTGAAGACGTTGTTTGGGCTGTGCCTATCCTGGTTGTGAAGCCGCTAAGGGTTCGATGCTCATCATCATTTTGGGCTCCTGGCGAATGGCGTGAAGATATGTGATGTTAGAATGTGGCCAAGCCCACAGTATATGTTTTCACGCATCACCGCGCTGGTCACCGCGTTGCGTTGGCCTTGTTACCGTGTTTGTGTTCGCCCCGCGCGTTTGTCACTGTTTCATCGTTGCAGGCAACAATTGCTCAAGGGTAAACTTACGGTGCGCCAGACATTTTGAAAGCTGGGTGTCAGCTACACAGCGCATCATAGGCTGCAACCATGCATTCAGCAGATTCTTTAAACGAAGCTTTTATAGTCTAGCACTCGTTGCGTCGAAATTCATGGAGTGGAAATGCCAAGGCGGTCTCTGCACCGCTGTGTTTTGACCTTCTGAGTTTGAGTCGACTTCAAACCGCCAGGACTCTCTCGTGGGACGCTCTTATGTGACGCTCTTGCGGAACAAACAGTCTTGTAGGACACCGTTTGCAGCAAAAGATGGCAGTGTTCAAGCGCTGTACGGGAGTTGCGCTTTGATTCCTCGTTGCTGATGTTTAAGTTTAATGTTAGATCTTACATGTCAACCCCACCAAAACTATTTGGCATCGACCAGCAGCAGCAACAGTAGCAGTAGCACTAGCAATAAGACAGGTGCACCTCTTGCAGCTCACTTTTGAGGGACGCAATCGCAAACCAATAGAAAACTAAACTCAGGTTTTCCCTAGAGCTCGAAGTTGTTGGTGGGTGGAGGGGTGGAGAGCTAATTCAAATTAATAGTTCAACGCACAAACCAGATTAAACAAGAACATCATGCGCGAAACAAAATAAATAGCTAAGACTGTTATTGGCGCCCACTAATTTTCAGGGTGTAGAATAGTCTGGCAGGCACTTTTCATTACAGTATTCCCTCCCACTTGGTTAATTAGGACTTGACATCATAGTGCCATTGTGACTGCGATTCTGGTCATAACTGGGACCATTGCATTTGTTGGTGCTCTTTGCACCTTTGCATCTTTGGAACTCAGAAGGAAAGAAAGGAAAAAACTGCAAGAAAAAAGAAAAGATCTAAAGATCTAAATAGAAAGACAACAGAATAATGTGCACGTCGCAATAGCAAACTATCCCCCTCGTTTTTCTTTCTGTGCGAACCGTTTGTTCGTGGCAATAGTAAACTCTCCCACAATAAATTTTCGGAACCTCCACTTGGAAAGACCCAAAAACCCATAAGGAGTTGAAAGGGAATTGCAAAGACTTCAAGTATGTTTTCATTTGAGAGAGAGAGAGAGATAGAGAGAGACGTCTTTGTTGTCAAGGAGGAAGCCAAGTTTACTCTTTAATATAGTCTATAGTACTATAGTTGAGAAAGATTACTGCTGTTGTATAGTAGTGGATTAAGTTGTATTATAACGCCTAGTAGGCAGCTGGGGTCAAAAAAGGACGCATGTCATTTGCAGTAGTCTAAAATTGTAAGTTGTTGGCCTTATTGTAGGTGCGAAAATTCAATCAAATCACGTGAGTATTTTGTGCATGTTAGGATTTCTTGAGAACATTTAGGTTTAGTATTGTAGAGTTTGTAGAGATCAGGTTGCACGAGCATGTTTTGTTCTGCGAAAGAGTCTTGCTTTGTAAATTAATTCATGATGGTTTATTATGATGATGTGCACATTGGAAATTGCACTTTGTTTGTATTGAGGAACCTCCAGGCGTACCTTTGCCATTGGCTCAAGGTCTTTTAGGTGCGATGGCTTTGCAAGCCCTCAGTTCGGGCTTGGGCTCTGTGAAGAAAGCGGCGCCCGGGAGCCACAGAATGGGACAGAGATGGAGCCCCTAGTAGCGTCCTTGCTCCTAGTAGCGATGCCAGGAGCCCCTAGTAGCGTCCTTGCTCCTAGTAGTATGGCCAGGAGCCCCTAGTAGCTTTGTTCCTAGTTGCTTCTTCAAACCTTTAAAGGGTTCTTTCTTGTTTTGTTCTTTCTTTCTGTCCTTTTCTTTATTTCTTGAAACTGTTTGGCTAATAAGATGTTTCGTTTCCCATTCTCTTTCATTCTGGCTGTTTCTATTTGTGCTAGCGCAGGCTAGGTCTAAAAGTAGGAAACTTATTTGAGTAATTACAGCTTGCCTTCCTCCCCTTGTGTGGGCATGCACTCTTCGTTCAGCCGTGCTAAACCATTCCGCCCTGTGATATCAATGTTGGTTCATGCTAAGGTCCGCTTGGCCTTTAACTTATATATATATATTAACTTTGTCATTTGCTTGTCTAGAGTATCATGCCCGTGCCCGCCGCCCGACAAGCCTCCAATGGGCCACTGAAAACTCTTTGGCCAGCGTTTGCAAGTTAAAATGCATTAAATTGAGCTGTCAAAATGCACACTCGTTGGAGTATGGATATTGTTGCGGCGTTCTTTTGATCGTGAACTTTAGCTAACAAACGTTCCATCCATTGCCATTCCCGGCCTGTTTCTTTAGTCAAGCGTCTTCGTTCCTCGACATCAGTAGTGCAGAAGTGCGAACCATGGGCGACGCCCTAGTTTCTTGTTATTAGTAGTGAGGCCAGGAGCCCCTAGTAGCGTCCTTGCTCGTAGTTGCGATGCCCTTTGCTCCTAGTAGCGTCCTCTGTAGTAGAGAAATCCTTTTTACAGAAGGACGTACTGAATGGGAGCATGGGCCGTGAAGCAACCGTAGGTGCCCAAGCACACACACACAGTGGCTGTCAACCGATCGGCAGAATGCTACTAGTAGTGATGCCAGGAGCCCCTAGTAGCGTCCTTGCTCCTATTTCTTCGACTTAATTGCAAACAGTTTCAGTTTCAACAAAGCTTCCAACGATTACGCTGAGCTTGGAGGTGACAGTGTCGGAAGTGGTGGAGCCTTCTATGTGTGCTAGTGTCATTTTAGTAAATATCTGGATTTGGACTCGTTGATCAAGGAGCCCCGAAGCTTTGCAAAGAGGATGTTTGGTGCTTCCTGGACAATAATACAGAACCTTGGGTATACCTTAGGTCTACCTTTACATTCTTTTGATGCAACGTCTACTGCCGAGCAAGAGTTGGATTCGATGAGGGAAGACAAAATTGAGTCTTGATTGTGCTAGGGCACTTTACACCTAAGTAGAACAACAATAAACAGAAAGACAGTCTAAAGCTCAATTTCCACAGAATCCAGAAACGAGCCCAGCTTCTTGTCTCCTAAGGTTCGCCAGGTTAAACAACCAAAGCGAAGCACCCAACGTAGAGTCTTCGCGGATTTGTCAAAATGGTCACAACCAAACGTTTGGCTCCAAAACAGGGGACTAGCGGAGTGTTCACATGAATGTGCCTCAATGTCAATGTCATTTAGGCCTTGATGTCATTTAACTACCGACCAAAACCACCAAAATCAAAGAACACTCGATAAAGCAGAAACATAATAGAGTTTCGCACACCGGCGATGCCCTAAGGGTTGTTGTTTCTGTTTCTGTTGTTTTTGTTGTCGGTAGGTAGGTGGTGGTAGTAGGTGCGCGCCAAGAACACCATTATTGTACTCCAAAGCATCGTGAGGCATTTCGCCACGATAGCACATGTATTTCAGTCCAGTTTTATTCGATGACGGAAAGCGCTTGGTATATAAGAACAGAAGGAGCGTAGCAAAACATGAAAGCTGGATTATCAAAATGAGGCGGCTTGAGAAGTCTTGAGAGTAGGAAGATCTTTTTCAGAAGAGGACAAGGCTTGAAGAAATACGGAAAGAACTATATAATAAAAATACACGCCACAAACCAATTTGAATAAGGATCATTGGAAGCTATGAACACCCAGATGTCAGAAAAAGTGCACTTTGGTATCTCACCTGCCAGGTTGTCTTTGATCATATCTTTGCATTTTTACTCTTTGTTTTTCCCAGGAACCGTGTCGCTCAGCGAGAATCTCCGTTGGAGAAGAACCTCAGAGAGGTTGGAAGAGACTTGAAGAAACTGAAACATGGAAGGCTTCTGAATATATACTGATACGTGGCTGCTGGTAGATTGGGGGCCATCGCTACTAGGGTGGAGGCCATCGCGAATAGGTTGGAGGCCATCGCAAAAAGGTCCCCTCAAGGAAGGTTCTTTGAACATGGCCTTATTAAAGAGCCTAACCTTAAGCCCTATGAAAGCCTTACCTTCCCGTGTTAGGGCCCTTTAACCTTCTATTCGTTACTTTATGTTTTAAATCTATTCGTTCTTCGCAAGCCTGGCTAAAAGCCCTTGCCTTGCTCACCTCCACGGCCGGCTTCGTGAGCCGCAGGCCACCTCCAACCAAAACTGGGGCGTTCCCAACAGTCAGTGGGGACGCCGAGTCAGAGAGATGATTATTCTGATGTCTTCTGAGAGATTCTGAGAGATTGTGTGAATCTTCTGATGTGTTTTGAGTCTTCAAAGAGTATTGCTTCCATTCAATGCCATGCTATGCTACTCAGGCTGCATGACATTGCCCGGGCATCTTTTGACTTTCAAGAGCCGCAAGCTCAGACCAAACACCCGATACGTCTGATACGTCAAAAGCTTCAGAGCAGTCGGGGTTCTGACACATATATAGCCTAGCGAGATTCACAGACGAGCAACCCTATTATGGTGGAGGCCATCGCTAGTAGGTTGGAGGCCATCTGCTCTATTACTGATGCACAAACAAACGAGAGTGTCGGACTACTCATGGAGTCCCACAGTTGGGCGAGTCAGGTTTCTTGAGCTTGGGAATCTTGGGAACATACATACTACAGCAGTTTTTCAGGAATCGCACCGGTGAAAAACAGGAACGGACGACAGTCTTTATGCATCCACCATATAACAATTTGTACAAATCAGGTCCATGGGAAAGTTTTTTCGGGCTGTGTTTTTGACATTGTGTGAATGATCACAGCACAATGAGCACACAAGCTCCAAAACAACAGGCATAAACAATGAGGACAAATCGGCACTGATCTATGTTGCGAGATTTTTGATTCGCAACACTGTTCGACTCCAAGGTACAACTGTTTGGTAACACTGTTCGGTTTGGCATTTTGTTCAGTCTCAATTCACAACTCGAAGCACCTTTGTAACGAACTGGCACTCCAAGGTACGGTGTCATCATTACTGAGATTTGGGCTGGTTTGCAGGCGTGACGCAATGGATTGCAGGGCTGTTTGCCAACTCAGAGGTCTAACAATCTAGGAACAAAGTAAATAGTGTGGGGGCTTCTTCAAGGAAGCTTCCCCCGCCCTGAGAGGAGCTTCCTTGAAGAAGCGAGCTATCCTGCGTCCTTGCTAGTAGCTAAATGCAGCACAGCTCCCTCTTACTACTTATTGGCTTACCCTCCTACTCGCGGCCTACCGGTCGTTTGATGTGGTCCAGGAGTCCAAGTCTCGATGGAGAAGAGTCCTGAAAACATTGAGTCTTTTGGAGTTCTTGATCAAGAACGGCACCGAACGTATTATTGATGAAGTCCGTCGAGAACAATTCAAGGCCGGACGAGAGCTTTCTTCATGTCTCTCCACAGTTTTGAAGTCGAAATTGAGATGAAACAAAAGAAGGTAAGGGCACCTTTAGAAAAGGGCCCTGCCCTGACCTTCTTTTGTTTCATCTCTTCGGTTGGAGGCCATCGCTATTATTACTACTATTTATTGTTCCATCTCTTATTATGTGTTGCTTGATTTTCTCAGGTCCGGCCTTTAATGGACTTCAGCTATTCAGAAGATGGCCAACGGCCCAGCAGGTGGACTTATAACTTACAACCTATAGCTTGAGTCTGTCCTATTACCAACAGTCAGTAAACAATTAATCCAATTTTCAACAAGGCCTCTACTTGCCATCCACTGTTACTGGTAGGATAGACCCAACTTATAGCGCAAAAGCTTGAATGACCTTCGTTGCTGAGGTAAAGACAAGGGCGCTTCAGTTCGGGAAAAGGCACAAGCCCTGGGGTGAGATAAAGAAAGGCAAAGGCACTCAAGGACTTTTGTTCAGTTGAGGCAAAGGCCATCCTTGAGTTGCTGAACGACAATGACATGCTTCGCTCGGAGAGAGAAAAGGCTCCAGAAGTTGCTCCGTCCATTTCGCTAGTAGATTGGAGGCCATCGCTATGATTTGCCCTCGATTCTTTCTGGTTTTGGGAATGAAAGTCGGACGTGAGAGAAAAGTAGCATACCGAGTAGTTACTATGTACTACATGCATGAATAGTGACGCTGTGGAGATTTTGTCTGCGTACGGATGGGACCGGATACGGCCTTGGGGACTTTTCTAGGGCAAATTGAGGGGATATATAGAGCAGGGCTAGCGGCTAGCGGCTAGCAAGCCTTTTTCACTCATAGGGCACGAGCTGCAATGCTTGAAACAGTTGCTGCTCTTCGAAGCCGAGCATTATGTATGTGATGGATATGATACACAACAGACAACAACACTTCAGTCCTTTGAACTCGGTTTGGCATCCGCCTTGTGCAGGCTCGTGTCCACCGAGATAAATTCATGGGCATGCAGCAGCCTTAGGAGAAAGATAGCTACTACAATGTAATTTGAGGGCAATGGCACAAGGTGTTGCACAGTTACAACGGAAAGAACAGGGAGAGAGAGGCCACACACACGCACCCATGTGCAAGGTCTTCAGTGGACAGCAGCAGCTACTCTGGTTATGGTGGGAGCAGCGGGTACGGCGGGGGAGGGAGCTACGGCGGAAGTGGCAGCTATGGAGGTGGCGGCAGTTATGGAGGTGGCAGCGGCTATGGAGGTGGCGGCAGTTATGGAGGTGGCAGCAGCTACGGAGGTGGAGGTGGAGGTGGTGGTGGCAGCAGCTACTCTGGGTCAGCTTCTCAGGGGTTAGGGTGTTCATTTTCAGTCAGAAAGGAGTGCTCTCAGCGCCATGTTTTTGCGCACTTTACAAAACATCTTTTTGACAGTTGGACAATTGGAATGTCCTAGAGAATTTCAAAGAGACCAAAGAAACCTCCAAAATGTGACAGAACGTTGTTCGCTCACACCGTGGTCTGTGCCGAATTGTTCTTTTTGGATTCGGGAAATTCCAAGGTCTAATTGTCTTGTCCAAGAAATGAAAGACTAGCAAAGATCTACGTCCCAGACACAAGGCGTCAGGCACGAATACACTGAACACTCACAACTGGGCAAATAAACCGCAATGCAGACGGATGGAAACTACCTTGCCTGAAACCAAATAATGGGCAAAATCAAATACTGTAATAGTACCACCCCCATGACACAGACCACCCCAGGCTTTGAACATGGTAGCAACGTGCAAGACACGACATGTTGAGGTTGTGCTTTGCTCTATCTCCACGGTTTCAATTCATCGCTAGCAAGGTCAATTGGATAAGGTTGATCAGTTTGCGTTGAGATTGTTTGCAGTGCTCTCGCTCTCGCTCTCTCGCTCTCTCTCGCGCTCTCTCTCTCTCTCTCTAGCATTTGTAGTCATTGCAATTAAGTTTGTTGATATTCATGAGCTGTTTGCATTGAGATCATGTTGGTGATACGGTTGGTAACCCCAAAAAGTCTATGACCCCAAAATTTGGCTGAAACCAAGGCAAATACCGGTCGAAATGAGTTCTTCAAACTTGATGCTTTCACTTCATATACGAGGCCAATAGCCAAAACATTGCTCCTTGTAAGGATATATAGGCTGCCTTCAGCTTTTATGTGAAAAATCTTTCAAACAAGTACTTCATTAGACGTAACAGCTCCCTCCATATCCAACTCTCTTTGTAAAAACATCTCATACATTGCAAGATCACTTTCACAACCCTGAACACCTTAAACAAAGAGTTGGGGATTGTAAGCATGCCTTTTTTTCATGAGTAGTCTATGCTTACTTGATTTAAGCCGCATCTTGACATCAATGTAACAAACATGAACGAGCATGAATTGTTGACGTAGTGAACACATTTTGTTGCTGAAAGGTTATAAAGAGTTGATATCAGTAGGAAAATAAAGACATGTCTCAAAGAGTTGCTTTTAGGTCTTGTATACATTTTTTGAAAACGGGGCTGTGCCTAACGTGTCTCCAAATGGAAGATTTTCGGGTATATGGACGCAGCTCGCTTTAATAGAAGACATATGTCTGGTTAAGTGCTACTTGAGCCTACACATTGGACATGTCATTTGTGGATAATGGATGGTGCTTCAAAGGTCAACCTGAATGTGTGTGTTGGGGTGGAGCAAGGGCAACACAAATGAATGAAAGACAAAGAAGGTATAAACATGTTGAATCTTTGCCCTGTATTACCAGATACAAACTGGGATCTTTGTTCCAAATGGACATGTGATCGGTCAAGACAGGGCAAAGATATTGCTTAAATATCGTCATGAACGGTTCTAGAGCTTGGGTATCCGGTATGCGCAATGAAAGCATGCGAGGAAGGATCTCAGCTGAAGTTGTTGTCTACAATTTGGGCACCTGAAGAGCCGATCGAAAAGTGGCAACTAACCTAATAGCTACTAATTGCGTCCTTGCTCCTAGTAGCGATGCCAGGAGCCCCTAATAGCTTCTTGTCTCTAGTAGAATTAGCTGGTGTTCAAAAAGGGTGGATGTTGTCAAAGTAACAGGCTACCAAAATCACCACAGATTGCCATCTAGAAGCGATGACCTCCAACCTACTAGCGATGGCTTTCAACCTAAAAGCATGAAGGCACGAGTGGATCACAAACCACCACATTCTGCCAACTGGGAACGAAAGACAAATTGGCACGAAACCACCACAGGCGCGTGGATGAATAGAAAGATCACTGTGGATCACCACATACAACGTGATCGCCACCAGGGATCGTTGCACACTATGACAGACCACACCCCAGCAGACTACCAGAGCACTTTTCTGAGATTGCCAAACCACGGTATGAAAGGGGAGTGGCAAGCCTTGGTACCCCCTCCCCTAAAAAGAGTGTTGACATTCCAAAAGCCCTGTGCCAAGGGGCGGGTATGGCGACAGGCCGTCAAGCCCTGAGAGCTAGAACCCACTGTCCTAACTGCAGAGATGCAGTGACCATCGAAAACCTGTCCTCGCTCCAAGGTATGACCCCTATGTCGGCAACAAAAAGTTTGAAGAAGCACGGCGAAGAAATGACGACCGCGATAGGGACGAGTTTCGATCTGAGTGGTTTGCAGTTTGTTTTAATTTGCAGAAAAGAACGAAAAGAAGGCAAGAAAGGGGTCCGGAGGTCTAAAGAAAAGAAGCAAAGAAAGGGACAAGAACACAGAACGTGGGTTGCAGTGCCTGCTTCCACATGACCTCAGGCGAGATCGCTATGGAGATGACGACCGAGATCGTCGTCGTGCGGGGCATAGCTCGCTACAGAACCGCAACGCAAAGTTTGGTATCGTGTCTCTCCCCTTCTTTCCCCCATGTTGGCCAAAGAAACTAGGAAACAGGGTCTAATTCAAGGTCTAAAGAAGAAAGGGAACACATTACTTTACCTTGAGTGATCCCCACCCTGAGAAGGTGATTTGGAAGAAACAGGGCACATTTATTGACATTGACATGTGCGTTGACGCAACGTTCTGAGATTTTCCAGCCCTAGAAGTCAGCTTGAACTTTCCTGCACCTTGTGTGGTGTTAACATCATCCAATCAAGACAATACACACCATGGAAGCCGATTTCATGTCCTGAGACAATGCCAGAACGCAGCGTTCAAGCTGCACTCTCCGCGTTCAACCTTGACATTCCTTGACATTGCACGCTTCCTTTGTTGTGCCAGCCTGTGTAGTGGCTCCGCTCGTGACAGAACCTTCCAGCAACACAACTTCCATGCAGCCCTCGACGCTGGTAGCAAAGGCAAAGCATCAGGACAGTCTCCGGCCCCATATTGATTATCAAAGACTCATTTTCAGATCTCGGTCAAGTAACACAAGCGAACGATCCTTTGCTCTGTAGCTTGATTTTGTCACTTGGCCAGCATGAGGCAGTATGCTTTGATTTATGCCCGCTTGATCAGCAGCACGCCAAGCTTCCAACACCAACACTGATCGCAGTGACCCACCCCATACTACGACCGCAACGGTCTTGCTCGAACCTTTCTTGAAAACTTCTGTGATTCGGACATCCTCTTTGGCATAAATTCTGGCGTTGTATTTGGCACATTTTCTGCCACCCTTTCTGGCAGTCCATCTGGCATATCATTTGTTGATATTATATGATACTATATGCATTTGGCATATCATGTTCTAGCATTATTTCTGGAATTGCAACTGGCTTACCCTCTGGCACATATTCCGATATCCTTTCTGGCATTCTATTTGGCATATCTTCTGGCATTCTTTCTGTCATGTATTTTGACCTTATTTTGCGATTCTATCAGGTTGGGGGTCCGTATGTATCGGGCCCGTGTGTGCCCAGCTTCAGCTGGCACTCGCTGTAGAAGAAAAGGATTCAATGAAAAAACAAAAGAAAAAAGAAAAGACTGGAAAAATAGAAAAGGCACACGTGTGGATAACCAATTGTGGAAAAAGAAGGAACACTTTGTGAGTCATGACGGATCAACAGCTTGAACAGAGTACCAATTAGGGCAGCGTTGCAACATGGGAACTTAGCAATGCACTGTGAACAGCCTGGTAAATACAAAACAACAAGATAAACAAGGGGTCTTAAATCGGAAAACAACAAATGAGTTAGCAGGTTTGTTCCATCATGTGCTTTGTGTTCTTGTTGATCCTTCGTCCTTAATGCCCATTCCCTTCGCATTCCTCTGCTACAAGTTCCTTGGTTTAGGGCAAACTTCCACCACTGCAAGATTGATGTTGTGTCCTATGGTGTCCCACAGTGCTACATTTGTCCCTTCTTTGTGTGCGTTGGCTGGGTTGCTATGTTCTCCCTTGTTTTGTCCCCTAGTTGTTGTATGTTGTTGTCATTGAAATGTTGCAGGTCGCGATGACAGTGGTGACTACGATCGTCGCCGCCGCGATGATCGCGATGACAAGGTGATGTTTGTTACACCAACCAAAGTTTGTACCTTTTGTACTGGTCTAAACGGGAAAGAAAAACAAAGGGTAAAGAACATGACATGTAAAGGGGTTCAAGAAAACGACAAAAGAAAAGAAAATACAATTCTTGTAAGTTAAAGTAAAGGAACAACTCCTTTTGTCCAAGTCTCTGGCATCAGGATGATAGGCGGCGGGATGATCGAGACCGGGACGGTCTACAGCTGAGTTCAGATTAACAGAGTTCCCATGCAACGGAGTCTCTCTGACCACTTCAATCTCAGAGGTCGGCGTGACGACCGAGATGACAGGCCTGCGAGAATGGTGTCGTTGTTGTTTTTCGTTTATCGTCTGAAGAAGTTCCTGACAGTTTGATCTTTTAAGGCGCGATCGAGACAGTCCCAATCTCAGACATGTTTTCCAATCAGGGACAGAACTGCTTTCCTTCCTTTCCATGGAACCAAGGACGGCGCGAGGACGACTTCGATGACCGGCGTGGTTCCAGAAGAGAAGATGCCTCAAATCAAACATTGTGGTTGCATTAGGTCATATTATGTATTGTCCAATGTCATGTATGTGTTTAATACTTTGCACGCTATGAATCAGTGTTTCAATCAGGACAGTCGGGATGAACGAGATGACTCAAGAACTGAAAAAATCGCAGCACCGCAGGTGGTTTCTTCTTTGTGAGACGCAACTTCTTTCCAAGCTACTATGCTCGCTTTAGGTATTGGACGTGACTACCCTTGCTATAAACAAAGCGGAAGAAAAAGTAGCGCTCAAACCAGCATGTTTTGCCGTGTCATCGTAGCAACCTATGCCCAAAGGTTTGAAACAATTTGCGTGAGTGGGAGGCCAATTTGCTGGACATGGGCGACCCGGCTCCTCCAGTTCCTGCAACTACTGCAGCCCCCGCTGCAGCACCTGCTGCATCTGGATGGGGTGCCATGGCTTTCAGAACGCTCCTCCATCCAGCAAATAGGCTATCGAAGGAGGACTTTAGTCCAAGACATGGAATGATCTACTGTGAGTACAGCGCACTGTAATAGAATTGAATCAAGGCCACAAGCTGGAGAGAACGTGTTTTTGGCACCGTGCAAGATGGAAGACCTGCTATGCAACATTCGCAACTGAATCATACAAGGTCATGAACTAGTTGTTGGACGACATCAGTCCAAAAGATTGCCTAGACCACAAACTTTAAGCTCTTGTGGCTACATGTCGTAAGCGCCAAGTTGGCACCGGTCTAGCAGAGTTGTTTACGCATCTTGGTTTGTAGTGCCATGATCACACTTGAGATTTTGTGTACGGAACTGAATGCGGTGCCACACGCCGGCCTAGGGTTCCATTTCCTAAGGATACAGGTAAGGAGACCTAGAAAGGAAGTAGAGGTCCATCGCACAGCTACATACTTATCAATTGCGTTCGGTAAGATGCCCAGTAGCCATATGGAAACCTAAGTGGTCCAGGAAACCTAAGAGGTCAGGAAGTAAAGCGGCATCTAGCCATGAAAAAACAAGTTGCAGTGCGGTGTCAAAACATGTCAAAGTGCAATGCAACGACAAGGAAAGCAAGCTGCCGACGTTCACGATCGAAACCAAGTAACCAAAAAGGAAAATTGGAGCCACAGCTTATGCAAAAGTTCCAGCAATCACAAGTCCATTAAAAATTGGGCAGGTACGTTTCAGCACCACACCACCAGGCTCTTCGTTGGCCACTCCCTGGTGGTGGGTGGAGTGGCCCCCTGCCGTAAAGCAAAAGTGAAAGCAAATCCTGACGGATCCCTCTGACTCCAAGGGGTACACACACACACAGGCGCAGATCGGAGTTCCCCGGTCAGCGTTGCGTTGTTTTGAGAATTGCCAGTTAATTCGTACATGCATCTTGAATAGTAGTAACAGGTGCCACGCTAGTAGTAACAAGTGCCTTACTAGTAGTAACAAGTGCGTTAATGGCACCTTCCCTGACCTATAGAAATTTGATTTGTGCCTTCGCATTCGTTGAAACTCCTTGTCGAATATCGATGCTTACTGGTAAAGCAGTCTGGGTATGTCTTGTATACATGCACTTGATGAATTCCCGGTTAGAAGGTGGTCGGGCGGTGCTCAGCGGATGTACCACTATCCCCCTGTTCGCTACGTTCGGGGCTCCTGGCATCGCTACTAGGAGCAAGGACGCTACTAGGGGCTCCTGGCCATACTACTAGTATCTACTAGTAACAAGAAACAATTAGAAACAATAAGCTAAGAATTAGAATTTAATTAGAAGATTCCGGACTTGTAAATCAGTCGCGCCTCCTCATCCAATAAAAAGAGCGGGGATCCACACGTAGTTGTCGACATGAGCTGACTTGGTTTGAATCTGTATTATGGAGCGATTTCAAAGTAAGGCGGTAGTAGCAAGTGCATCGCTACTAGTAACAAGGGCATTACTAGCATGGTGCCTTATTACTAGCAGCTTGTTACTACAAGTAAGGCACCTTGCTACTAGTAGCTTCTTCCTACTAGTAGCAATGCCCTTGTTACTAGTAGCAATGCACTTGTTACTAACGTTGAGCAGCCACAGCTTCACGGCTGGTTGACATGGTTGACATTGTTTGCCAAGCATGGCAGTGGCCAACCTTTGTAGCGGTCAGTGGGAGAGTTTGGGCGCAGACTTAGCTGCATATGGGAATCTTAAGCACCATGTGTCCAATTTGCAGCAGGCTCCATACGAGTTAAAAATTCAGGTACCTGACTCACATCTTAGGCTAGTGTATGTGGTTTGGCGCTGAATCTTTTGCTACACAGTCTGTACTTCTTGCAATGTGTAGTTGAGGTTCTGTAGTCCCAATACAAGACATCGTTGAATCGTTGAAGGCCCGACGGCCCAACAGTGCACGCAGCATCCCTACACGGATGTCCACAAACTGCCCTTTTATGCCCCCTTTTCAGCAGAATCGCAATGGCTTCCAAACCTAGAAGCGATGGCCTCCAACCTACTAGCGATGGATAGCGATGGTATTCATCCTAGTAGCTATTTTTACTTTAATAGCGATGGCCTCCTCCCTTTTCAGCAGAGTCGTACTCCTTCTTGGTTTTTCAAGGTGCTTTCGAGGGTGGAGACTTTGCTGACTTCACGGCAGCAACTCCAGCTCAACCCGCAGACGGCTTTGGAGACTTTGTAGGTGTGATTCGGTGGTCAAGTTCGTTTCATCCAAAAGTGTTCGGAATCCGTTTTTAAGCATCTATTCAACAAAGTCAAGCAATAATTATTGTCTTTGCTTTTTGGAGGCATTCTGTCATGGCCAATACCGAGGGCCGTTCACTTGCTTGCCGCCTTTTGTGTCCATAAAAGTTTCATCTACGGGGAAACTATTACCACAGAGGCTTTGATATTGCATCTGACTGGCAAAACAAAAGCCAATTCAGGTACAAGCGATGGCCTCCAACCTACCAGGAACGGCCTCCAACCTATCTGGCTGCTAAAACTAAAGCCGATTCAGGCATACAAATCAGAAGACCTTAAATTATCCTGCATGGAGCTGGCACCCGCTAGCCTGAGTTTACTCTTCAGACCATGCCAGGTCAATGTCGGCTCTAAATATTTCAACAGAAACTTTTCAAACATCCCTGGGTCCCTTGTTCATGCACCATGAAAACCAGAGTTGCACTGTGGCATCGCTTGACCGCTCACCAAAATAGAAGCTTTGCCTTGCAAAAACAACAGACGACTGCAGAAACATAAAGGATTCTAGAGCAAACATGCTACCCTCCCATAACCTAGCTTTGTCCGTGTTTGCAAATGCTCGCAGTTCGTGCGCCTTAGTCTCACAATGCCTCGGCACCTTCAGTGCGATTTTTCCATAGAACCGGCACTTTATGACACGTTTATTCGAATTGATCCACCTGTTTGGGGTGGGGACGGTCCTGCTGTCCTGCTTGTTTCAGGAACATCTGCACCTGCTGCACCAGCTGCGCCTGCCGCACCGGTGCCTCACATGATAAGTTCAGAAGTATTAGTCCGAATGACATGACAGCACGACACAGCAGCGGCATAGCAAAAAGACAATATTTTGGACGCTTTTCTGCTCAGGCTGTTGACATGTTCCAGAGCTCGCCAAATGTAATGCCTGACCTTTTCGCTCAGGCACAACAGTAGTACTGCAATGAGAGTACAGGAGTTGGACATTCAGTACATTGCTCGTGAAATGGCATGCATCAGGCTGGCGGCTGTGGAGGTGGTTGTGGTTGCGGCTGCGGAGGTTGTGGATGCTCAGGCTGTGGTGGCTGTGGTGGCTGCCCTGGATGCGGATGTGGTGGATGCGGCGGCTGCCCCTGTGGCAGCGGCTGCGCGTGCGGATGTGGAGGCTGCCCTGGATGTGGCACGGCCTGTGGCGGATGCTGTGGCGGATGCCCTGGCGGATGCCCTGGCGGATGCCCTGGGTGTGCTTCTGGTGGCCCTGGCGGATGTGGTGGTTGTGGCGGATGCTGTGGCCAGCCTTGCGCTGGTTGTGGAGGATGCCACAGCGGATGCGGAGGCGGTCCCGCATGTGCTGGTTCGACTCAACCTAGCCACTACTATGCATTGGAAGAGTTCCCAAGACAAACCAAACCTGCCTGCTCCAATTGAATTTACTGGCTGAGGCCCGCCAGCTGGACAAGTAGACACAAGTGGGTGCGCCCTCCGAACGAGTGTCACGTTTTGAAACTGCATAAGAAGTCCACTCAACGTAGTAGCGATGGTCTCCAACCTAAGAGAAACAAAGGTCAAAGAACTTGTTGCAACAATTGGCAATTCCATGTAAGCTACATGGCACTGTAAACGACTCGGAAGTTGCAGGTCCTTTCTGGATGGCATTTCCAGCAAGCTTTTGGCCATTGACTCAGCGCTGTGAAGCAAAAGGAATTCAAACAATCTCCAATACCAGACACACTACTCCTAACAACGCTTTTCACGAAGAAAGAACGGCAGGCAAAAGATAGGTATGACATGGCATGACAGGTGTCTTTTGGAAAAAAAAGCAAACAACAAGGAGAAGAAAAGTGCTTTCAATGGGCCTTAGGCGGCCTTTGCTCCAGAATGCTACTAGTAAGCCATGCCTTGCATTCACGTTACATAGAACTTCCAATGCCAAAGACCTTGTAACAGTAGTAAAGAGGTATATTAACCTTTATACAAAAGGTGTGGAGTGCCAAACACACCTTATTACCGCAACAACAACGACGACGACGGCACTACGGCACTACGACACTACGACTTGCCAGAAGGCATGGAATGCCTACAATTAGAACCGAATCCTGCAGTACTGTGAGGACCTCAATCTTGGTTCTGGCACATCCCAAGCATCCCCATCTGGGTCCAGCACCGCAAAACCAATGGGAGGAGCAAAATGGCTTGTTGAGTGCTCCAGAATTCATTGGTGCCAGAACTAGTTTGACAGTTGCTTACCATGTTCTGCAGGAGCTTCGATGGGCGGTGCCATGGGAACTGGACCCGCCATGGGCAGTGCCATGGGCATGGCATCAATGGGAAGTTGTGGCGGTGGCTGTGGAGGCTGCGGCGGCTGCGGCGGCTGTGGAGGCTGCGGCTGTGGTGGGTGTGGCGGTTGCCCAGGCTGCGGTGGCTGTGGCGGCTGTGGCTGCGGCGGCTGTGGCTGTGGTGGCTGTGGCTGTGGTGGCTGTGGTGGGTGTGGTGGGTGTGGAGGATGTAGTGGGTGTGGTGGGTGTGGATGCAGCGGCTGTGGACAATGCGGTGGTGGTGCCTGTGGTGGATGTGGAGGGTGTGGTGGGTGTCCAGGCTGTGGTATGCAGATGGGAATGGGAGGGATGGGTCAGCCGGGCATGCCCCAGATGGGGATGGGTCCAATGGGCCAGATGGGTCAAATGGGGATGGGAAACATGGGCATGAAGTGAGACACTTCACCTTGCATCCTGGTTTGCATTGAGACTTTAGTATGCAAGGTCAAGGAACTTTACAAACTTCTGATTCCAATTTCCATTTGGTGTAATCAGTGCACAGTGCTTTCAGCTGCATTTGCAAGTTGATTCAAACTTGCCGTATTTAACACCCTTTGATCCTGCAGCTGTTTTTGGAGAATTATTATCGATTCAAGAGATCATGGTTTGCTTTCTCGCCAACTTTCACCTAGAAGCAATGCGCAGTCCTCTTAGGTCCTCATCCAATACTTCGAGTGGCCAGTGAGAGCAAATCGTCTCCGGACTGTCTTCAAATGATGTGTTCTCCAGATCCTGGTCCTCATGGTCCGATTATCCATGAAACAAAGGCATTCTTTGTTTCTTCGCCGTCCCCCATTCAAAGCTGGCATTGGACCTTCTGGCGATTGCACAAATTGCGCAAATATTGGCGATTTGGGAAGAATCACCACTTTCGCCCCCTAGTGTTCAGCCGCAGAAAGATCTGAACTAAACTGACGTGTCAATGAAAGACCGTTGCAGCAATTTGACCAATGATGTGCTGTTTTTTCGTTGCCGGAATTGAGATGTTGTTGGAACTGTCCTTCGAGATTCCTTCAAACTTGGAACTTCAGCGATTTGGTATCAGAGCTTTGACTTTTGCATTCGAGATTTTTGCAAGGACTAGGACTAGGATTTTGGATTCGGGATTTGTTTTTCAGATTCGAGTGCTGAGCTCAGAACGCAGGACATGGCATGCGGCATGCGGCACACTCATTTGATCTTACTCCAGTTTCGGTTCAAACACTGTAGCCTTCACCATGGTTGCAGAGAAGGAACCCAACGAGTCTCGACCTCGAAGACGAATTCGTCAATCTTGGTCGGTGGCTGCAGCAACATACGTTGGTTGCTGCTTCACTGACATGGAACCTGACAGGGATCTCCGTCGGCGTAGGGACGTGGTGCACGTCGCGAGAGATGGACCTCTATCGACACTTGCCAATTCAGGGCCGTTTAGGGCAGCAAGTGCAAGCCCTAGTGGCCTCAATTCGTCTCCTACACGGACACGAAGCTTTGCATTTGGCCTGTCGTGGCTTATACCCAGCTTTGCACGACGGACGGCCAAACATGCTGAGCCCGTCGCAGCCTCAAGACTGGATGTATGCATGAGAGATGCGAAAATAATCATTCAATCATTACCAGGCAGCATTGGAGAGCTGTCCACCACCTGTTCTTTACAATCAGCCGAGGGCCCATAGCGTCCTTCGCTTGCTTTCTGGAGGATATGTCCTTCTTTGTAATACTAATAGCGTCCTTGCTACTAGTAGCGATGCCTTTTGTCACTAGTAGCTTCTTGCTACTAGTAATGCCAGGAGCTACTAATAGCGTCCTTGCTACTAGTATTTTCCATTGTCTTGTCAACACTTTGCCTTTCAAGGCGTTGGGTTCAACTGGCATTCCTAGCTTTGCTCGCGTTGCTGAGCGACTTGGTGTTCGGAGCTTGGTGTCCAACGAAACTGGCTGTGACACGGTTTTTGACGCTACGTTCGGGTCTCCTGGCCCTACTACTAGGAGCAAGGACGCTACCAGCAACGAAGGGCATCAATTGTGCACCTTGATGGTTCAATTGGCAAAGCCAAGCCTTTTGTTGCCTAAGAGCATGAATAGTGCGAGTGCTTCGTCAAGGAAGCGTGAGCTTTCCTCCGTCCTAGGCAGCAGCTACCTTTTGTTAGTTACTAGCTTGCCAGCCACATAAGTCTACTCGCGAACCACCTCCCCCTAAAAACGGTTCCATTGGGGGTTTCCAAGGTGCTTCAGCGTGGCTGCGACGCCTTGAGCTAAATGCACCAACATGACAATGTGCTCAAATGTCAAAGCGTTCAACGCACGAGGCCGGCAACGTGGACCAAGGTCTTCGGGCAGGACGGTGAAGCACAGAATTCGTGTTATTTGTCCCGCTTGCTACGTTCGTAGCGTCCTTTCTACTAGTAGCGATGCACCTCGTTACTAGTAGCGATGCGCTACATATAATTGCTGCATTGATCTTGAGCCTTGCAGGACCCAGCGTCCCTCATAGATATATTTCTTTTCACAAATGTGTTTGCATGCTTCCTTGAGCCTTTTGCGCCTCGGATCTATTCAGGTCCCGCGAAGGAAACAGATGAAAAACAAAAGTTGAAAAGAGACGAGACATCTCTGAAGAAAGCAAGCAAAGAAACAAAGAACTGGACAAGTAACAAGTATTCTCTTTTATTGGTGACAATCCGAATCAGCTTAGGTCATTCGCAATTTTGGTCTCCGGACTCCAATTGTCGGTGCAGCTGTGCCACTCGCTCAGTTTGGACCTTGTAAAATGTAGAAACAGAACCCTTTTTCATTATGTTCCTTTCTTTTTTTCTTTTTAATATGCAATTTCTCGTGTTATTTGTTCATGTTATTCCTTTCCTTTCTTCATTATGTTCCTGTGTTCTCTTTTTAGCAATTTTTTCGAGCCCCCTTTTCTTCGCCCAAGAAGCTGAACTGTTGTGGCACCTTGCAATCCTGGGCGGAGTTGGGGTGCGGAAGTGCCCAAGACAGGTCTGCACGGAGCACGCCACCGTGCCAGACAATAAGAATACCCTCTTTGTTCACCAGCTAAGCCTTCATATGTTGGTTTTGGCGAGAACCTAGGACGATCATGAGGTGGAGGCCATCGCTACTAGGTTAGAGGCCATCGCTTTCATTTGCCCTTTGCCTGTTGGAGGTGACGTTGAGGAGGTCACTCTAGGAAGTATGAGTGCCTTTCGCCAAGTCGTGACTGTGCGCAAAATCCAGGCAGTGCCAGAATCCAACATGGCATGAAAAATGAAGTCAACTGAAACCAAATTACAGCTGCAACTCCTCCACTGCTTGCACGGGAGTTGTCCACAGGCCGAACAAGTTGCTGTTTCAAAGAAACTCGCCCAAGCTGAAGCGTGTGGGAGCACAAGACAGAGCATGGACACTCACGGAAGGTGTACCAAACCGGATTTGCCTACTAGCGATGCCCTTGCTCCTAGTAGCGATGCCCTTTGTTCCTAGTAGCTTCTTGATCTAAAAGCCTCTATAGACTTGGCGATGCCGAACAGATGTGCAACGCGGTACACAGATGTCATAGTGGCGCCCGTTGCTGTGGTGCCTCTGGAAACTCGGACCAGGTTGAGGTCTTAAGGCCAGGCTCAAATTCAAGTGAGTTCTCCTTGAGATTGCAGAGATTGCACCTAGTCTCAACCTGATCTTGCCTGGGATGTGTCCTGGCAACCGCAGAGCAGTGGGAGAGCAGAGCACTTTCTGAAGTTCAAGGCTTATCCTTTGGCTGTGCTCGAGGGAAGTGCTGATATGGCCCCACTTTTTCCCTGAAGTGCTGACGTCCCTTTCGTCCATAGCCTTTCAGCTTTCGCCCGCTTGTGAATACAAACAAGGTCCACCTCTATGTGGGTTGGATGCCATCGCTAGTAGGGTGAGGCCATTGCTTTTAGGTTGGAGGCCATCGCTTTTAGGTTGGATGCCATCGTTGGGTGGATGTGGATGAAACGGAAATTAGGTGGACAAGTCCCGCAAACGTCCAGCAACCTGCCTGGATGGCCTAGGCTTGGATCGTTGTCTAAACTCTAAACAAACAAAAAATTAGCTTTACAGGTTTTCAACACACTAGTTTTAGTAGCTTCTTCCTTCACGCTTTGCTGAACTTCTCGTTTGCAGGGGAGGTTTAGAGTGGATCGTTGCAAGTGATCGAATTGATTTATCACTACAAAAGGCTCTCTCACCCTCCCTAAGGACACATGCATCGCAAGCATCATTTGAGTGATTGGAACCAGCTTAACGAAGCATGTCTTGTTGGTTCCTAGTAGCGTCCGATCGCTCCTAGTAGCGATGCCCGTTGCTCCTAGTAGCTTCTTGTTCCTAGTAGTAAGGCCAGGAGCCCCTAGTAGCTTCTTGTTACTACTAGTAAGGCACTTGTTACTAGAAGCGATGCACTTGCTCCTAGCGTCCTTGCTCCTAGTGATTGGAACCTTAAAGAAGCATGTCAACCCAAGTCTTGGTGGTGACAGAGTCGAAGCGTCAGAGAGTACACCATCGCCTGCACCTTTTGTGAAATGAGCAAAGTATGTCGCTTGACTATTTGACCCGGAATCTACCCGTTTTCTTCAAAGTGCTTCAATCATTTTGGTCTTTTTTAAATCCAATGCTAGTAAGCATGTCCTACCAAAGAACACATTTTGTCACTCAGCTTTAAATTGTTCCACTGTAGACCTTACTTTTTCCAACAGGGAGGAAACTTGTAGAACAACAGCGCTACAAGAGAGATCTTTGTAAAGGACAAACCATGCAACCCGTAGATGTGCATTTTCCCCATTTCCTATTTTCTACTCAAACTCCTTAGATCTTGGTCCTTCCACACCAAACTGCATGTGAAACTGGAAGTCTTCCACGCCCAAACTCCGCGTTTTCCACACTTACGCCACTAGAGGCTCATGGCTTTGGGCTGCTGGTTACGTTCTGGTGTGCCATTTATGGGTGAGGAGCTTCCAGGAGCACTGGAGAAAATGAGTGGAAAGAACGCTACTAGGGGCTCCTGGCGTCGCTACTAGGAGCAAGGACGCTACTAGGGGCTCCTGGCCTTACTACTAGTAACAAGAAGCTACTAGTAGCAAGGACGCTATTAGGTGGCAGGTTCCTATGGCGAAGGAGTAGCAGGGGTATCAAGGGCCACCCTGCATTCTAGAGGTTTTTCTTTATTTTCGGCAAGGACGTGAAGTCCAAAGTCCAACTGAACTTGAAGACTTCTGTTGCAAGAAGATGCTTCTTTGCCTTTTGTGAGGATACAGCACAGTCGTCATAGGCACCATGCTGGTTGCAGTGGAGGACTTAGTAGAGCCAAGTGGAACGACATTCAAAGCAGCTTGAGACTGAAAGCAACTAAAAATTAGACACACAAATCGAGGAACAAAAGAAGGTAAGGGCCTCTTTGATAAGGCCTCCCTCAACAATAAGGGGCCCTTAACTTCCTTTTCTTTCTCTCTGGCTGGAAAGGGTTGAAGAATGTCGCGGGCAGCATTGTAGCTGCTATACAGTATACACGTGCAGTGGGATTGTGTTTGGTCTTTCAAGGAGGCTATATTGTGAGACTGCAAAGACTGGACTAGAGTACAGTAACATTGTTCGGATGCATTCGGCAGAGAAAACGTATTATCTTAACGTGCTTTTGCGCATCGCTAGTAGGTTGGAGGCCATCTCTTTTTCTACTGTCGATCTGCGCGTCGATAGGAACAAGAAGCTACTAGGGGCTCCTGGCCTTACTACTAGGAGCAAGGACGCTACTAGGGGCTCCTGGCATTGCTACTAGGAGCAAGGACGCTACTAGGGGCTCCTGGCCTTACTACTAGGAGCAAGGACGCTACTAGGGGCTCCTGGCCTTACTACTAGGAGCAAGGACGCTACTAGGGGCTCCTGGCATCGCTACTAGGAGCATTCTTACTACTAGTAACAAGAAGCTACTAGTTGTCGTCCTGGAAGTTCTGTGGTGCAGGTGGCGCAGCCTTTCTTCCAGTGCACGCCTCCGCTGCTTTCAGCCACATGGTTTGCTCCCGATGCGACTCGGTTGTGGA